CCAGGTCTGTTGTGACATAGTAACTCACTGCAGAAAATGATGAATGGTTGCTCAATTTCGTGGATTTGTTGAAGTTAGACATTAACACCATCGGATGTCGGCCTGCTCAGTGGTCTATCGGTTAAGTCAGGTCAGCTACAACGTAGGACCAGGCACATATATGCATCGGTCCAAGTTGCCATACCTCGTTAGCACAACAAGAGGAACACGGGATTCATAGTAGTTAATCTAGTGTTGGTACTAGTATATAAATTATAGGTTGTATATAAGGATATAGTACAGGAAGGAAGAGAGATATGAAGCAATTTTAGTCTCAAGGTTTAAGGGAAGATAAAGAGTGTATACACCTACGCCATTGTGATCGATTCTGAGCCATGTCACATAGAGTCTCCAACCATTGGTTACGATAGTCACGCGGACCCCAACCAGGTAGTCTGCATCTGCCAACATGGCTCAGGCTAGAAGTTAGTGACTTCAAACACTGATGCCATGTTTTGGTTTGGCCGCCCCTAACTCTCTTCCAACCGTCCCCAATACTAGTCATCATAGCGCGTCGTGGTAATCGGTGTTCAGGCATACGTAACACATGGCCCAACCATCTCAGTCGATGAAGACTCATAACCTCATCAACTGATTTACCATCGTTCCCTAATACCCTGCGTCTAACCTCACTATTACTTACCCGGTTATCCTAGCAGATGCGAGCAATATTTCTAAGGCATCTGTGGTCAAATACTAGTAACCTACGAGTATCTTCTACTCTTAATGGCCATGTTTCACAGTCGTAAAGTAGGACAGAGCGAACTGCTGCGCAGTATACTCGTCCCTTAATTGATAGACGGATATCTCGTCTACGCCATAGGTGACGTAAGTTGGCAAAAGCCAAACGAGCTTTTTGAATCCGTGCTGAGATTTCGTCTGACACCAACCCATTAGGGCTGATCAGACTTCCAAGATAAGTGAAGTTGTCAACGCGGTCGACTACTTCACTTCCTATCCTTAGTTCGAGTGTTGACGCAGGCCAGTCCTGGAGTAACAATTTACATTTGGATGGGGAGAAACGCATCCCAAACATCCTGGCATTATTACTGAGTTCCAACAGAAGACTCTGCATTTTGCCAGCGTCTTCACCAAACAGGACTATGTCATCTGCGTATTCTAAGTCGCTTAGTGGTCCCCATGGTAGGAGATCAATTCCTGAAAATTCAGTCGATGAGAGTGTTATTTCCAGCAACAGGTCTATAATGAAGTTAAACAAAAATGGGGATAGTGGACAGCCTTGACGGACACCACTTGAGGTTGTAAAATCATATGACAGTTCGCCATAAGCTCTCACACGACTAATAGTGTTCGAGTAAAGAGCCTTCACAAGGTTTATGTACTTCTCAGGTACACCTTTCAATGACAGACACTGCCACAGAACCTCTCGGTCTACAGAGTCAAATGCTGCTTTCAAGTCAAGAAAAACTATCATTGTCGGACGCCGATAAGCGTGTCTGTGCTCTAAAACTTGACGAATGGTGAATATGTGGTCGATACAGCCACGACCAGGTCTGAAGCCAGCCTGATTTTCTCGTGTTTGCAGTTCACGAGTCTTAGTTAGGCGCCCGATAATTATTGAGGCTAGTATTTTAGATGCTATGTTAGTCAGACTAATCCCTCTATGGTTATCGCAGGATGATTTTGACCCCTTTTTATATATTGGGACAATCAGTGATTGTGACCAGTCGGATGGGATTACATCCGTCTCCCAGATTTTAGCCAGAATATTAGTCAACCTAATCGCTAAAATTGGACCACCATATTTAAAAACCTCTGGAACCAATCCATCAGGACCAGCTGCTCTTCCTCGTTTCAGATTACCTATAGCCTTTTGAACTTCAAGTAGGGTCGGGGGGCCTACTTCAATGTTCCATTCAGGTTTTCTAGGAATAGTGGGTAGTTGTGCAGTAGCTGAAGGCCAGCTAAACTGTTCCTTAAAGTGTTCCGCCCATCGTTCTAAACGTTTGGGTTGAGAGCAGATAAGGGTTCCGTCTTTTTCCGAGATTGTCTCACTTACACTTGACTTCTTAATTCCGGTTTCTTTTATTAGTCTGAATAGTTGCCTGGTGTTGCCTACAGCCAATGCCTTTTCCATCTCTTTTGCTTTCGTTGCCCACCACTGCTCACGATCGTTCCTTAGACTTTTAGTTAACCTAGATCTGATTTGTTTACGCTCTTCGTCGTCTTCAGAGCCTGATGGGATGAGTTTACGCGAATCCATCAGTGAAATAGACTTAGAAGAAATCCACTGGTTTTTTGGAGCCCTATGGTTTAAATGACTAATAGATGTTACTGCCGTTTCCACAGCTGTTCGTGTGTCTTTCCAAGCAGCATCTGGGTCAGTCTCGTTTACAGAACTGCCTAGATCTGAACTCAGTTGTTTCTGGAATTCGCATTTGGCTTTCTCGTCCTCCAGTTCAATCCTAATGGGTCTTCTTAGTGTACTTTTCCTGCGTCCATTGAGGCGCAGACAAATGCGCGCTCGTATTAAAGCGTGATCAGAGTCTAAACAAGTATTCCAATACGAGCGACAATCTTCTATTGAGCCTCTCCAACGATGTCTGATGACAATATGGTCTATTTGAGTCCATCGTTGGTTTGGTGCAGGTGGTCGCCATGTTAGACGATGTCTCTCCTTATGTTTAAAATTAGTGCTTGCTAAAAATAAACGATTGTCTGAGCATAGTTGCAACAGACGATCACCATTATCGGTTCGTTGAGCCGGAATACTAAAACACCCACCTAAATGTCTTTCTGTTTGATTTAAGCTGCCTACCTGGGCATTAAAGTCACCCGCTACGACTACTATGTCTGAGCGCTTAGCTTTCTGAAGGAGCTCAGAGAGTTTTCTGTAAAAGTCATCTTTTACTTCATCGTGGCTGCAGTCAGTGGGAGCGTAGGCAGAAACGACGAAAAGGCAACGACGTGTGTCCCTATCCTTCCGAGTTCTTATGGAGCCATTTAGCCGGACAGCACACAGGCGACTGTTAACGGGGATCCATTCTAGTAGTGCCTGTTCTGCCCTTGTACTTAGTGCTATGCCTACACCTGCAAGTCCGCGAGAACTAGCCAACGGGTCGCCAGATACACGGAGGGTGTATTTCGTCGGCTGTCCATTTTGGCGAGGTGAGGTCAAGTGAATGACCACACTGGGATCCTGTATGCGTGTTTCGGAGACACAGCATACATCAATGGTACGAGATTCTAGGGTTTTAGCTAAGGAGGCCTGTTGACCGATTTGACTTAAAGTACGTACGTTGAAGGCTCCAATGTGTAGTTTGGAGCGAGGTTTTAGTAGACCTGGGACAGCGTTTCGCGCACTAGAATCGTTGGCCATGGTGACACTTGAGGAGGAAACCGAGAGAGGAAGTTTAGTGTTGAAAGTCAAGGTAGAGGGAATAGTAGGAATTGAAGAAGATTGATTATGAATACAGTGGTCTTGAGTGCTGTTAGAGGTATGAGGGCAGTTATCACTTCCCGGTTGCCCACACCGTGGAAGGATTCTTCTAGAGGTACCTGAAAAGGAAATTGGGTTAGGAGTGGTCTTAATGACCTGAGAGCGTGACCGCAGTGCCCAAGGGACAACTGCTTGAGGTCGGTCACACACGACCTTTTTGTGGGTAGTTTTTGTGTTAGCTCCGTTCTTCAAAAAAAAAACCTTACCGCCGGAGACGGAAATCCGTGGGATAAGGCGAGGTGTGCATTTTTAGGGTCGACGTTTTCTAACCCCACCCCTCCTTGTGGGAAGGCAGCATCGCTGTCATGCTGGTTGTCTGAAGGAAACACCTTACTGCCTTCACACCTCTGTACAGTCAGCAGTACGACTTCGCCTTCGGACCTTGGGATTGCTGCTTTTAGTCTCACCGCTCTTCAACCGACCTGTCTGGCATGGTAGGACCTCGAGGAACGACTGTTCCAGCCAGCATAGCTCGATTGCTTCATCACGATAGGCAAGCCCGACCACCACGTCAAGGTAGCAGCAACGATCGGGCTATCGGTTAAGTGCTCGCGCACGAGACTGGTAGGTCCTGTGTTAGAAACTCACGAGGCCGGACCGTGGATGCGCACTGCTGAGGAGTCCTACAATAGAACGAAATGGCTGTCCAGTGCTTCCAGGTTTTTCATGGTAGTCTAGCTTCAATTGATTCAGGATTTCAATCATATAAAATTATTAAAATCTCCACAAAACCCCATTCCGAATTATCTATTATGTAAATAGGCCTCAATAACCTTCATTTGTTAACCTGTTTTGATGCTTTAATAACTATAGGAGTTGGGATCATCACAATGTTAATGTTAAAAATTGAAATAATCAATATATATGGGTAATTATTGCATTGAATTATTTGTAATCAGATATACTTATTAGTTGATAGGTAACTAAACTATGCACGAAACATTACAAGCAAAGATGGATAGTGGATAGCAGTGGAATCCAGTACGTGCGTTTCGTCAAAATTGGGAGTCGTCAACTGGATTTACCTGCATCTCAGAGTTGATGTTCACTCTGGGACTCGAACAATGCTTGAGAATACGCACAGTATGCACATATGCCATTTCGAGGATGACCAGTCGCAGTCCTAAACATCAATGAGAAGATTCAAACAAGTAATACTATGAAAATTTAAACTTCACCCCATTGTACAATTAAATGGCTATCAGGACTCAGCAACTAAGTGGATAACGCGATAGAGTTTGAAGCGAAAGGTACTGGGTGGTCGAGTCCCAGAGTGAATATCAACAAGTCTGAAATGCAGGTACATCCAAGCTGTGATAAATCTCGAATAGGACAAAACCCACATCTTCTTGAATTCCACTGATAGTCACTACTATCCATCTTTGCTTACAAGTAACTATAGTTTCTTATAGTGTAGTTATTAAAATGAAATAGGAGAAAAGAAAGAAAGAAAGACAAAAAAAAAAAAAATAAAAGTTTTTAATTCATTTTTTTGTTTATTTTATAATATTAAATTTTTACATGATAACCATATCAATAAACTAATACATTCAATTGTAAATGTAGTAAATTTTATAATTTGATATAATGATATAACTAAATTAAATATATTCAATAATAAATAAATAAGAATTAATTTACAGAAAATAATTAAAAATTTATATATTAAAAAATTATGATGATGATGATGATGATGATAATTATATAACAAGAATAAAGATGACGATGATGAGGAGGATGACAACGGCGGCGATTGCGAAGATGATGACACCGATGATGGTGATTGAATATGAATGATACCATATTGTAATAACCATATTGATGTACATAATAGAATAAATGTACTAGATATAGTATGATTAAATTGTAAATTAGATGAATAATGTAAAAATAAACTAGAAATACTAAAATTTAAAAAAAACAAACAAAAACAATCAGAGAATAAAAAGAAAAGGGAGAAAATTAGTACTTGGAATGAATAAAATTGAATTAGTTTACAATGATATCAATGTATTAGAACTAGTTTATAAGTAACTAATCAAAAATGTTTAGAAAGAAATTCTATTCATTTCAAAATGGAAGATATTGCTTCAAGACTGCTACGTTTCAAACACTTGAATTAATGCCTTCAAATGCCATGGTACGGTCAAGAGTAGGAAGAGTACGCTCTACCTCTCCGAATGCTTTCACATGGTCACGCATATATAGTCTTTGCCATGAAAGTTTTACTCACTACCTACCTTCTTGTGGCATTACTGTTGTTTACGAAATTGAGAGGATGAAAAGTGCATCTTCGGCGCTTTAAGCGGGTTGGTGGACACGGCGAGTTCATCTAGGAGAGTTGGAAAACTGTCATTCTAAACCAATGGTGTACATAGGCTTCAGTATCCTGAAAATACAAATGGCGTATGAACCAATTGCTGATCACTGGCTACCATCGAGCTGCATCTCCTTACGATGCTCCACTGCCTAGTGGGTTAGACTCTTAGATCAAAGGCTCCAGGTGTGGTCCCCTAAGAAAATCACCAGCTTCAGTTTGGGCACCTGGACAGTATCACAGCCCTCACACAAATCAAATGAGAATTGTGTGGAACATATATATCTGGTGCCCTTTTGTATCAATATTAGAAAAGTCATATTTCGATTAGAGGATAATTCACATAATAAAAGTTGGACATTAAGTTATAACAAATTGGCATACATCCTTTTATATAATCACAACTATATCATCTCTTACTTTCTCACTCATAATTTTCTTTCCAATTTATCCTTATTATATCGTCAATAATCCATTAATAAACTTTCAATTAACTAATTTAATATAATAAAATGTACAATTTCCCTATTAATTACAACCTTTTCTTTTTTCTTAATATTAACAATAATCAGTATGATTGTTTTATTTGTACAATTATCTTGGGATTTACTATAGATCCCACCCCCCCCCGCCTAGTAACAACATACATAATCAGTATGACTGTTTTATTTGCACAACTATCTTGGAATTCACTATAGATACCCCCTCCCTAGTAACAACACACACACACATCTATAAAAAAAATCAATTAATCAATAAACTTACCTATAATCAATAATTTTAATATTTTCAATAAATAATATCCAATCATTTAACATATATAAACTAATTATTATTAATATAATAAATATACGATATTTAATTAAATATAAATAATAATAATAATATAATTGAATTTGATATTGATTATTAATTAATTTTATTGATTTTTTTGGAATTTCTTTTTTTATATTCAATAATTGATAATTATTATTATTATTAATAGAATTTTGTTGATTCAATGTTATATTCTAATGATTTGAAAAAAGAAAAAGAAAAAGAAAACATATTCAGATAAATTTCAATAGTTGAAAATTATGAATATTAATTGAAACTAAATCAACATGAAAAACCTGGAGGCACTGGACAGTTGTTTCGTCCTACTGTGGGACACCTCAGCAGTGAAAATCTATGATCCCGCTTCACGAGATTCCAACCCAACACCTACTAGTCTCACGTGCAAGCGCCTAACCTCTAGACCACTGAATCAGCTGGTATTCAGCAGTGTTAATATATAAACTTTAACTGATTTTACGATCAAGAAAAAACAAAAATAGTACTCAAACTTATTGTTTGAAAGATCATCTAACATTGTTGATGATGAATAGTACACAATGTCAACATATTTGAATTCGATTGATTACAATTTACATTCATATATTCTTTCAATTATAAGATGAATAAAACAGTAATGAACTAATGAATTCGAGATTAAATAATTTCTAATATTTAATTTCTTGTATTTCAACTAATTCGTGATCATCATTATCATCATCGGACAAAATCATTATTGGTTGATGACAACTGTTTATCATAGTTGAAAACATGCGTCGATTGAAGCTGGACAACCATGGAATAACTGGAAGAACTGGACGGCCGTTTCGTCCTAGTATGGGACTTCTCAGCAGTGCGCATCCACTATCCCGCCTCGCGAGATTCGAACTCAGGACTTACTGGTCTCGCGCAACAGAGCTTAACCACTAGATCACTGAGCTGGCAACCGATGATGTTAATGCCTAACTTCAACCAATCCACGAAGTTCAAAAACCATTCACCAAAGTTTTCAGTGAGTTAATATTTCACAACAGACCTGGCTAAACTCCACGGGTCACTGCTTCCCACTAGAACTCCAGGAAATATCTCTTGAAATCAGTAGATTAATAAAGTGAATAGTTAAATAAACAAAGTTTGGTAATAATAATAATAATAAAACAAATATAATCATAAGTAATATACTTACATTGATCAATAATAACAAACTGAGTAAGAGAACAGCTAATGATTCAGTTACTAACCAAGCAATAAATAGAATACATAATGTTGAAATATTCATAATCCACGTAGAAGATGAAACACTAAAAACAAATTGTTGTAAATTGGGGAGCGGGGAACAGGGAGGAAGGGGGAATACAGAGAGAGAGAGTAAAGTGATAGAACAATACAAAAAAGTGGTCATATATATCTTAGCAAATATCGATATACTAATGAGTATGAGGCGAAAAGACTTGTAGGTGAGGATAGCAAATGCAATATATCCCAAATTAGCAAGTATAGAGCATTGAATGCCAGTGTCTGTACTATATGCGATAAATCTTTGTTACTATGCTATGAGTTAAGATATTACGCGGTTGAAGACAGTCGACAAGAGACTATTTTTGATCCATGACACTGTCTATTTGATACTCATTAGTACCCTGCTCGAACAACTTAATGATAACGTCTTATACTGTGAAAACAGATGATATAGATTCAAATATCATTTAAAATACCGTTATAAAAATATTACATATGACACTAGTCAATCAAATATAGGTTCATCTCAACCAAATTATAGATCATCCCAAGTAATAAATACATTCTGATCATATACTCGCTTTAAGCTACTTTTTAAGCTACCATTAGTAAAATGTTCTCTTCCTTTGAACTGAACACAATGATTTAACTGCTATTTCTATTAAAAGAAGGTTACAGTTTTAATTGAATCAATTTATTTCATGATTTTTTTTTCGTAGATACAGAAATATAAAGTTCATCCCCATCTTTTGAGTCAACACTGCTACAAAAAAACTGTTAAACCATTAGCAAACAGTTGTCTTTTAACCCTTACGATTGTTTAGTTATTATCCCTTGATTGTTGCTGACTGGATGTTCAAGTGTGTACACTGCTATGATCCAACCAAGCCATATTAGCTGGAATACAGTAAGACTGAGGGCAGTGAAATTAAGGTTACAAAGGTGAAGTCGTATTGTAGTGAACGAGAACATAGACAGGGACAACCAAATGTATTTGAATATAAAATTACAAAATCTCTTAGCAAAATCTGAGGACCATATAGTAAATACGTCATTTGCAAAATGTCGATCAACCATCTCAGACTTCATTGTTCGTTCGTTCCATACCAATCAATCTCCCTTCTCGTTCTCTCTGCTTCGATGTTCTTAACCTTATGTCGCCAGATATTTCATTTTTTATTAATGATGCACACTACTACTATCTATCGATATCAGTAGCACACATCACAGTATCAATGACTGTACTAGAGCATGATGAGAGTAAAATATTTTGTTTACGCAAGTAGCATCTGTAAGAATGCAACCTTCCCATAGCACGAATAATAGTTTTAAAAAGTCACTCTTAAAAATAGCACACATCTTATCTTTTACCATAAGTTTCCGTACCTTCCAACAACACCTTTACAGTACAAAGTAAACACACCAAAAGCTGTAAGCAAAGATGGATAGCGGTTAGCAGTGGAATGTAGGATGCGCGCTTCGTCCTATTTGGGACTTGTCAGTTGGATATACCTGCATCTCAAACTTGTTGATGTTCACTCTGGGACAAGAATCCAGTAACCTTACGCTTCAAACGCTATCGCGTTATCCACTCGGCCACTGAGTCCTGATAACCACTCATAGCTACTTATAAAAGTGTCACATATGATTGACTTCAATTCAGTATCTTCTTGAGCTCAACCATTATGCTCTTCAAGACTCTTTTCGGATATCTCACAAGGATGTATCAAAGAAGAAAACCAACAACAACAATAAAAAGGTTGCTTACGATAAATTATCATTTTCTTTCATTATAGAATCATCCTTACGATGAATGACTTGTGATGATGATGATAATAATAAAAATCCTTTATCTAATATGTAATTGAATAATGGAATAATAAATCCATATGGAATAGATATAATTAATAATGGTAAATGATTTAATATTATTTGAATATAATTAGTAAAATGTATAATGGATAATGATTGTACGGTGTTGATTAAACGTAAACCAAGTTGTCCAGTTTGGTGTAATTCAATCCATTCAGAGAATCTAATTAGATAAAAGAAAAGATAGAAGTAAATAAAGATTATTGACACATGAAAAAAAGAAAGATTCATGAAATATAATCTTATTTTTATATAGTTGAAATTATGAGTCGATTGAAGCTAGACCACTATGGAAAGCCTGAAACAACTGGACAGCCATTCCGTCCTATTGTGAGACTTCTTAGAAGTGTGCATCCATGATCTCGCCTCGCGAGATTCGAACGTATAACCTATCAGTCTCATGAGCGAGCGCATAACCTCTAGATTGGTGTTATAAATAAGTAGCATACACTACAGTACAAAGCACAAAATATATATGCGCCATACAAATCATTCGATTTGTGTGAGGGCTGGAATACATCCCAGATACCCAAACCGAGACAGAGGGTTTTCTTAAGAGGCCAATCACCGAGTCTTTGACCTAAATGTCGGATCCACAAGGCAGTGGAATATCGTGAGGACATGCAGTCACATAGTAGCCGGTGACCAACGATTACTTCATACGCCTTCTATCCCCTCAGGATACTGGAACCCATGTGTACCATTGGTTTGGAATGAGGGTTTTCCAACTCCCTCAGGTCGATTCTCCATATCCACTAACCCGGTTAAAGCGCCGGACATTCACTCTCCGTCCTCTCAATTTGTTTAATAACACCCTCGCGGTGAGAAGGCCAGTAGCTGTATACGCATGATCATATGAGAGCATTTTGAGAAGAGCTGACTCTACCCACCCACGGCTGTACTTAGGGCATATTTATCCAATAAATATATACGAATTAACATTTTGTTTCACAACATATAGAGTTTATAAACAGTGATTTCCTACACAATTAATCACATGAATATCATCATAAATAACTAGTGAAACGATAAATACTTTAAATGTTTAAACAATCTTATGTTTCGTGGTTGCATCTAGTCGGCAGGAAACCCTACTTCACTAGACTCAGTTTTGCATCACCTAGTTTTACAGTCAAAGTCATTATCACTGAGCAGTTCAGACGACGACTGAAGTAATATAGGTCTCAGATGCACGTCCCTGACTAGGAAACTAGATGACATAGGATCGAACACGCCAAGCAAAATCAATTCCTCCAAGATTACAAGTACATCTTGTTGAAGAAAGCCAGTTAACACGAAAAGTATGTCAAACAAGATATCCTGTCAACTTTCTTCGGCCACCATAATCTTGCATCTCAACATAGTCCACGCGATGACGAGTTACCTAGACTAATGGGTGGCAAACTGCAACTTGATCAACAAAACTCGATATACAATAAGAAGGACTTGACATACATGATACTAGTCACTACATAGTTTTCAGTCAATAGTAAATTCAATCCAATGTGATGAGATAGTTTTGTTAGACCACTTCACCTATATTGTTTCTAATTCCATGAACACAATTTCTATCCAAAAATTAAACTAATTTTTCAAAACATCTCATACTTAGAAAATAACAAAAGCCCCCATCCCATTTTCAAAGAGATAAGACATAAACCATTGATCGGTTTAATGGCATAAAAGATATATATCTGTTAGGACTGAGTAATAATGCCAGGATGTTTGGAATGCGTTTCTCCCCATTCAAATGTAAATTATTACTCCAAGACTGGCCTACGTCAACACCTGAACTAAGGATAAGGAGCGAAGTAGTCGAACGTGTCGACAACTTCACTTATCTTAGAAGTCTTATCAGCCCTAATGGGTTGGTGTCTGACGAAATCTCAGCACGGACTCAAAAAGCTCGTTTGGCTTTTGCCAACTTACGTCACCTATGGCGAAGACGAGATATCCGTCTATCAATTACGGGACGAGTATATTGCGCAGAAGTTCGTTCTGTTCTACTCTACGACTGTGAAACATGGCCATTAAGAGTAGAAGATACTCGTAAGTTACTAGTATTTGATCACAGATGTCTTAGAAATATTGCTCGCATCTTCTGGGATCACCCGGTAAGTAACAGTGAGATTAGACACAGGGTATTAGGGAATGATGGTAAATCAGTTGATGAGGTGATGAGTCTTCATCGACTGAGATAGTTGAGCCATGTGTTACGTATGTCTGAACACCGATTACCACGACGCTCTATGCTGACTAGTATTGGCGATGGTTGGAAGAGAGTTAGGGGCGGCCAAACCAAAACGTGGCGTCAGTGCTTGAAGCCATGTTGGTAGATGCAGACTACTCGGTTGCGGTCCGTGTGACTATCATAACCAATGGTTGGAGAATCTAGGTGACATGGCTCAGAATCAATTACAATGGTGTAGGTGTGTACACTCTCTTTCTTCTCTTAAACCTTGAGATTAAAATTGTTTCATATCTTTCTTTCTTCCTATACTATATCGTTATATACAACCTATCTTATATATACTACCATCACCACTAAATTAACCACTTCTATGAATTCGGTGTTCATCTTGTTGTGCTAATGAGGTATGGCAACTTGAACCGATGCATAAATGTTCCTGGTCCTACATTGTAGCTGACTGACTGACATGTGATTTGGGTAGTCAAATATAAATTTCTTATCCCACAATTTCTTTAATCTAGAGTAGATCAAATTGTACATAAGAAGAGTACGTATGAATATCAGATATCGGACATTGGGTATCATGTAGTAGTAGTAGTATTAGTAGTATGTACTTTGTAATTACTTATGAATATATTATGAATGACCAATAATCATCTTTATTATTATTATTCAACTTACGGTAAAGATAGTAGTTGAAAACTGAGAAAATGTATTAAAACAACAGCCTGGTGATAATATATCTCATGAATTATGGATTGGAAGTTATGATCAGAGATAGACGTCAAATGATCTACAATAATTGTTTGTTTTGTTTACAACAACAAAACAAAAATCAAAATAGATGAATCAATCAAAATGATTACATAATATTACATATATAAAAACTAAATTAACTTGGATAGATTATCAGAAGGGGGTTTTGTGGAGCTTTTAGTAGTTTTATGTACTTGAGATCATGGGTCAATTGAAGCTAGACCATCATGGAAAACCGGGAAACACTGTACAGCCGTTTCTTCCTACTGTGGGACTCCTCAGCAGTGCGCATTCACGATCCCGCCTCGCAATATTCCAACCCAGGACCTATCAGTGTCGTGCGCGAGCACTCAACGGTGTTAATGTCTAACTTCAACCGATCCACGAAGTTTAGAGACACACGAATGTTGAGGAGTCCCACAATAAGACGAAGCGACCATCCAGTGCTTCCAGGTTTTCCATGGTGGTTTAGCTTCAACTGACTCATGATTTCAACTTTATAAAATAACTTGGATAGAATTGAAACTTGTTGATTTTTTATTAAAATCTGTGTAAAAACAAGACAATAAGAAAGATGAATAGTAGCTAACAGTAGAATACAGGACGCGTGTTTCATTCTATTTGGAACCGAGTGAATATCAAATCTTGGATGCATGTACAACCAGCTGAAGAGTCCCATAACAGGACGAAACGCGCTTCCTGAATTTCACTGCTAGCCACTAACCATCTTTATTTATAATACTTGTGAATTAAGGCAATATCGGCGAAATTCACACAGGATAAACACATATGCCAATAAGATACTGATCAATTGCAGCCCAAAACATGAATAGGAAGACTCATACAAACAATACAATAATGTTTTAGGACAATAAGAAGTTTCAATTGTACATAAAATGAACTGAATATGTCTTACGGAAATGAAATGGGTTTGAGAAGATTATTCAGTTTGAAGATTGCTTATAAGAGAAATTGATTAAACAACTATTGAAAACAAGATACCTCTGGAAAATCATTTGATTCTATTGTAGCACTTGTTGGCAATTCCCATTTAAGTTATAACCTTAATAAGGATTGATGTTACGAAATCCTGAGGGTCTATGAATTACTTGATCGAAATGATTGCAGTAGCTGAACTAACTCATTTTTAAATACTAGATGAATAAATACTAGATACCAAACTAAACTATACAGTAAAGAATTATTGTAATCATTTATATGCAATCAACCAGATAAGTAATAATTAATTAAGTATGAATATATGAGCCAGAAATCAAAACTCCCATTCAGTCCTGTACGCCAAATCATCAGACACAGATTAATTTTCGAATGTAAGTAAAACAAATTGAGTGATCGAGATCATTTTCTACTGAAAAACCTAGACTAGTTGCCGCATTGCAACTTCATCGATAACATTCGATCAATACTAAGAAAGACTTGACACGCATGACACTGATCACCATCCAGAGATCAATGAATTGTGACAAGTGATAACTATGATAATTGGATTTTTTTATGTAATGATAAACTTAGGCTAGTAGTATAAATTGAAATTTCCGAAAAAAAACAGAAATACAGATACAAACGAATGTACAGTTGTTGTTTGATTCAATTAGCCAATTAAAATTCCTTCCTCATTGTTTCCATTCTTTTTAGAATAGTTAGGATTGTGTATACGAAGAGTACATACTAGTGTCAAACTCACTGGAATCGCAAGTGACGACACATAAAACAAACTACTGATTGATGAATAAATAGTGACTTATATTATTGTTTATTTATTCTATCAATGCTGATCAAATTCTATCGATAGATCAATAGTGGATAGAATAGTTCTGTGGTAATATATTACAATCTGAAGTTGAGTAGTATAGGTTCTAATCCCATATACAGTATCACTTCCTTGTTGAAAGCATTAACTAGTATGAAACGTTGAATCAAAAAGAAGGTTCGCTTGGAAGTATTCTATACAAAATAAGATTTCAATAGAGAATGAAACAGAAAATTATAATACCAACTTGATACAATTATTGAATGAACTTACTTTCATTAAATGAGATCAATCGAAATGTTAATATAACTAATGATAACACTAGATGTCCACATAGTAATCCAGCAAAATGTGTACAATGAAGACGAATCAACTATTTTTTTAAAAGTTTTTTTAAAGAAGAAAAAAAAAGAGAGAAAAAATTTATTTATTAACAGAATTAAATTATAAATGTAACCTATTAAAACCAAGTAGAAACAATAATAAACTAATACCGGCTCAGTGGTCTAGAGATTAACCGTTCGCCGATAGATTCTATGTTCCAATTCCGAGGACGGGATCTAGGATGCGAGCTGCTGAGAATTCCCATATTAAGATGAAACGATCGTTCAGTGCTTCTAGGTTTTTCATGGTAGTCTACCTTCAATTGACTAATAAATGCAACTATAAAACTATTAAAATCTTCATACAACTCTATTTTGATAATAATCTCTTTAATTAAAAAAAATAAATGATAAATATGCAAGATATAAATATATTTAATGTGAATTAGTTTCAAGTGTTAAGAGATGAAAACTTCCACACACACAAAAACACATATCATGGAAAACAAACATATTAGATGAATAAAGTATGGACGTGAATAGCTCCAGAATATTTCTTTGAAAAAAACAACAACAACAAAGGAATCAACAACTTTATGTGATTAAGAATATATGAAACTTCTCTTTCAATTTGTTAATGTCTTTGATAAAACTTACAACAGATAAATGAAAAGATGGAAAATATTCAAATCATTTTAAGGATTACCCCCGAATGTCTTGGTACGGCCGACAGTTGGAAGAGTCCGCTCTCCCTCTCGAAATGCTCTCATATGACCACGCGTTTATAGCCTCTACCACGAAAGTCCTACTCACTGCCCTCTCATGGCGAGGGTGTTGTTTACGAAAATGAGAGGACGAAAAGTGAATGTCCGGTGCTTTAACCGGGTGGGTGGACACGGAAAGTTCACATAGGGGAGTTGGAAAACCCTCATTCCAAAGCAATGGTGCACATGGAACGGCTCCAGTATCCTGAAGAAACAAATGCCGTATAAACCATGGGACTGTATCGTCACACGATGTTTCACTGATTTGTGGATCAAACCTTTAGGTCAAAGGCTCGGGGTGTGGCTCTCTAAGAAAACCACCTGCACGTTGGCAGTATCACAGCCCTCACACAAATCAAATGAGATTTGTGCGACACATATGTATCTGGTGCTTCCTTGTAGCAATATATCTGTGTTGAAATAAATAAATAAATAAACTGAATATTTCCATTTATTCATCATCAAGTTATATATATACATACATGTATACATATTATTTAAGGTTCCTATTGAAATTATCCAAGAGAAATCCCCAATTTAACATGGAAAGATACAAGTAAACAACACCAAGTGAATTTAAAAATTCACCCCATTGCCCAAGCAATTGGCTATCAGGACTCAGTAACTGAATAGATAACACGATGGCATTTGAAGTGAACAGTACTGGATTTGAGTCCCAGAGTGAACATCAACTGTGAGATGCATGTATATCAAACTGACGAGTCCCAAGTAGAATGAAATACACAACCTAGATTTCACTGCTAGCCACTATCCATCATTAACCATAATAGTAGTTTCAAAAAAATATAACTAATTACTTTTCCAAGATTCATAGAAACTTTTTGAAAAGAAAATAGGACAAATCAATACACAAAACCCCCCCAAAAAAATAAAGAAAATTGATTAAGACTACTAATTTTATAAATAAGTAATCTACTTGTAATATCTCAAAGACTAGAAAAATTAGATTTTTTTTTAAATTTTTCATGACTTGATATTATTTATTCTCTGAAGAAGTGGCTTATACTAAGTAACGAAACGTCGGACAATTTCATCTTAAATACTTATTGGGATATCTACAAATACATTATTTATTTATTTATAATAATCTACTCAATGTATAATTCATTTTAAATTATTAATTTTATGATTAAAATTATAGAAATTAGACTATCATAGAAAATCTGGGGAATCACTGGATAACTATTTTGTCCTAGTATGAGACAAAAAACCATTTTGGACTATTAATTTTTTATTTTTTTATTTTTAAAAATTGATTTATAGGAATAAAGAATCGTTTCAATGTATTACAAGTTGATTATTATTAATATTGACCAATAAGAAAGACGTATTCTTTATATCTCAAGGTCGTCTAATTAACCAATCATAATCGAGATTAAATGAAAATTTCATTTTAATCAGATGATCATAAATGTAGTATTATATTGTTGGAATAGTAACAACAGTAGTAGTAGTAGTAGTAGTTGTAAATAGTATGAAGGGATATATCAGATAATAATCGAATTGATTAAAGTAAGTTAAATTGATTTTAATCATCTAAATGATTATTCTATGTCTTATGTTTTATTATTATTGTATAAAATCAAAGAGAATGTATATATGTTTATATAAATAGGGGATAATATGACTAATTAACTAGTTAGTTGATTTTGAAATAAACAGAATAAGAAGGGATATTTTTTTGTGGAGATTTCGTATTTTCATAGTTGAAAGCGTGAGTCAATTGAAGCTAAACCACCATGGAAAACCTAAAAGCACTAGACGACAGTTTCGTCCTATTGTAGGACTCCTCAGCAGCACCCATCCATGATCCCGCGTTCGCGAGATCCGAATCCAGGACCAACCAGTCTTGGGCAAGAGCACTTAGCCGATATACCACTGAGCCGGCATCCCATGATGTTTATGTCTAACTCCAACCAATCCACGAAGTCGAACAACCGTTCACCAATTATCTTCAGTGACTTGGTATCTCACAACAGACGTAGTTTCAATTCAACTGGTCACTGCTTCTCACTAGAACTCCTGAATTTACCTCTCGAAATCAGTCACTAGTGACCACATGATTATTATTATCAGAAAGCGTTTTTGTGGAGATTTTTTATTTGAAAGCTATAAACAGAATGAGATTATAATAGAACTGATTATTATTTGAATCATTTCTCAGTTACAATTAATATTAAAGCTATATCACTATGGAAAATCTGAAAGTACTGGACAATCGTTTTGACCAGTGCTTCCAGGTATTCCATGGTAGTCTAGCTTTAATCAATTCATGAATTCAACTACTAAATTACTACAATTTCCAACAAAACCCCTCTTTCTGATAATCATTCAAAATCTTTTCGACCGTCATGAATTAATCACAGGTGAATATGATTATTATTTTCTGTAAGTAAATTACCTTCTTCGATCGATAATGTCATAATACATAACTTATCATTACGTTTATAAGCAATGATGAATAACGGCTAGCAGTGGAATGCAGGACGCGCGTTTCATCCTATTTGGGACGATTATAATTATGTTGTTTGATATATTTTTGAATTGTAGCTACAATTCAATATCACAAAGGTGCTTGTCAGAATAACACATTACCATACTTATTGAACAAGTTGGTAGCTTTCATAACTCAGTAGGTTAGTTGATAATAAGTTTACGGTTGAACCAATAAGCATTAGATTTGAGTATTAATCTACATCTACATACTGATATTGAAGATATATTCAGTTGATAATTGGATTCCACTCATAGCCAATAACCAATAGTATATTACTCACTAATAAAAATGGGTTCTTTGTAAGCTGATAGAAAAAAATTCGTAGTTTAAAAGTAGGACATTGAAAGTGTTTTATTGTTTTGTCTTTATGTAAGTGAGTTAACATGAAAAGGTTCTTGTTACTAATTAATACGTATTACATAAAGCTTGTTTTAGAAAATACACAGTATGTTGAAACTCATAATAAACCAGTTTCTTCAATCCATCATAGTTAGACATATTGTAGGAGTATTGAATGACTATTACACCGTAGTTTAACACTTTAATCTCAGTCTCACATCTGAATAAAAACAATACTTAAGTGATTCTAAATGTCCTCGAAAAGAATATAAATGAAGGGTTTACAGGTTGGCATTTTAAATCCTAGATTAATAGAGCTTAAGATAACTAATTTGAGTATTTGGTTATCTAAAACATAACTAACAAGTGAGTAATACAGAAATTAAAGGTATAAAGCAATACATAAAAATGATTAAAATTTGTAGATAATACTAAGTAGTATCCGCTGACTAAACATATTTGCACAGACTTCATTCTGAATTAGTTACAGACCAACTCAGTCAGTCAAAACGTAAAACTTCGTATGTACGTACATCAGTTCGAGTTGCCATACCACATTAGCACAGAGATCCAGTTGTCGATTCAAATCCCATAGTGGTAGAAGTAGAAAGAGTATAAGCAGTAAACCGAAAGATTAGGGTTTGAAGATGTTATTGAAGGAGTATAATCCAACGAAATAAATTTGGAAAGAGAAAAAGGATACGGATATGAAGAATTCAGAAGATTAGAATTTGGCGGAACACAAAGAGTGGATGCACCTTCGCCATTGCAAACGATTTTGACCCATGTCATTCAAGGTCTCTAACCATCGATTGCTATCATCTCGCGTATCCCAACAAGGTAGTCTACACCTATCAACATGGCTCAGTCCACTTGTTAGCGACTTCATGGATTTGTGCCACGTTTTGGTCTGGCCACCCCTAGCTTTCTTCCAACTTACTCCTACACCATAAAACATTGCGCGTCGTGGCAGTCGGTGGTTGGGAATACGTAACACGTGTCCCAGTCATCTCAACTGATGAAGTTTCACTACTTCATCAATCGATTTGCCATCCTTACCTAGTACTCGTTTCCTAACAACTACATTACTTACCCGGTGGTCCCAGGATATACGAGCAATGCTTCGAAGACACCTATGTTCGAATATCAGTAGCCTACGAATATCTTCTACTCTTATCGGCCATTTTTCACTACCATAAAGTAGGACGGAACGGAGTGCTGCACAGTAAACCTATCCTTTTGTTGTTAGTCGGACATCTCGCGTACGCCATAAATGACGCAAGTTGGCAAAAGCTAGACGAGCCTTCTGTATCCTTACAGACCAACTAAAAGTTTTAGTCAAATCTTGCACCCCAGTTATTCCATTTTAAAATATATATCTTCCTACATTACTTGCTCAATATTATCTACATCATTTTGGTCATTGTTT